AACAATGATGGATGTGTGTTTAGGATCATTGTCTTGTTGCAACATCAGACTGTGTTCAAGTTTTAACCATCTAGTTGTTGAATGAAGGTCATTTAGAAGAATTTAGATCATCCATCATTTAACCAGCAGATAAATCAATTGTCTCGATTTCCTCCCATAGAAAACATTTGACCAGTTGGCTTTATAAAATGAAGCAGACCTTGCCATTTTATATTAACAATCCAAATGAAATGCATTTAAATTTACTCTGAATCTGCCTGCATGACTGGATTGAATGAACTTATATTTCTGTGTGGAAACTAGATCTGTCTGTAAAGTTCCTGAAGATGATATTAGTTTTATGATTCAGTAGAACTGGATCTAATCAACTGATGTCTGTCCCAAAAAATCTGAATAAATTAGTGTCAGAATATTGTGTTTATAAATATATTTCATGATAACAACACTGATCAAATGTATATAAAGATAATGAGATCTTATAGACAGTATTTTCAGACGGCAGTTTCTTTAAGCAGAGTTTATCACTTTGTTAGTGATAATAAGATATAAACCTACAGCTTTCATTCCAACCATATAATTTTTCCTGTTGGACAGACGTGAGCATTGCAGGCATTGGTGAAGCATCTAGTGAGAACCCAGGATCCAGCACTCCAACTGCTCAGTAACACTATTTTACACAACAGAAATCTAGAGTCATCCCTCATTTCTTCCTATTCTGATTCAAAGCAGGCAGACTTCCTTCTAATCCTCTAAATAAGGGATCCTCAATGTTTATATCAGTCCAGGGCCTGATCATGATGCACAGAAATCTCCGAGTTAGCATCTAGAGGATAGCTCCAGCCGTAGCTTCTTCTACTGTACCTGGTGGGTTTTTCTGATGAACCACTTGCCTGCTACTCGCCAGCGGTGGCCTCTAGCCCACCTTCAGATTTCTGTCTGCCTGGCAGACTTATCTGATCTTTCACTGTTGATGTTTACTTTATTATCTGAGATCAATTTAATCCCATCAATATGAAGTTACGGAATAATCTGTTTATTTTTAGAGCCCCTGATCTACAGAAAATAACCTGTTTTTTCTGCGTTCAACAGTAGAAGCGTCATGGTTTTATGTCTTCAAGACATTCCTGTAGTTTAAGAAATGATTTAGCTAAACTGTACATCAGAAACAAACTGAAATCTGTCAGACAAATAAGATTTGAACCAGCACTGTTAACTTAAAAGCCCAACTGTGGTCAGTCTTGAATTAGAACCAATATTCTCAGTGATTCAGAGTCATTTTAATAGAAAACCTTTTTTTTAACATGGAATTGTAGTTGTTTTGTTCTTAGTAAATCATGTAACGATAAACAGCTTTTATTTCTGCAAGCTTTACAAACATCAACTGGGGTCTTGAAGAGGTTCTGTTTTTGTAACTAATCTAACTTATCTTATCTTAAAGAAATTAACAATTCAGGGTCAAATGGAAAACTCAATAATGTTGAGACAGAATCAGCAACCAGCACTGAGAAAGGTGACTGAGACTTTATTTGACTATTTCGCACAAAGTAATGTCCATCAGTCTGGAATCATGCCTTACTTCTTCAAAGCAGGCTGACATCCCTGTCTTGTTCAGAGAAACATGTTTTTGTTGATCAGGGTATAAAAATGCTCCTAAATTTTTAGGACTGACACAGAAAATATAATCAGAACCAAATTTAAACAGGATTTAATGTCACTTTATTTCTATCAGTCAAATGATCAAATCCATCATTTATTCCCTGGTTTGGTCCTTTGTTTGAACCCTCAAAGACAGCACAGCCTGACATTTACTATTTAGTTTCATGTTGATTGATTGAAAATAAAAATATATTTAGACCATCATTGTTCTTTTTGAAAATGTTAAAATGTTCAACTATTATAACTAAAACTCACATGTTTATGGTGCCTCCAGCCAGGATGCAGGTCCGGCTGATATGCAGCCTGAACAAGGTGAGATTATTTTATGGGGTGAGATTACTGTCAATAAAGACATAACTGAATGGGTTGTCGTGGGAAAAAAGTATTCAACTATTCATCCTAGTTAAATAAACTGAGATCGATGGATTTCACTCAGTCGGCACATTTATTCATATCTTTGCAAAGAGAGAACAGTTCATCATACAGCCCTTATGGCACAGCATTCTGCCCTGTTCTGCTAGAGCAGGGTTCGTCCCCCCTTACTTAGAACACTGCAAAAGCAGTCAGTCATAACAAATTACAGACACTTTGGTTAAACATTAACATGTTATGAATAAACCTTGAGAAAGGATCTGGTTTGTTATGGGAATAAGCTATGTCTGGTCTACAAACACCATCCTGCAGAGAAATGTGTGGCCTTGAGAGAGAAACAGACTGAGTGAAAACATTTATAGTGAGTAAATAGGATAAATTAATATATAATAGAAGAGAGATAAACATTTTAATAATTCCGACAACACTCATAAAATATGTATTTTTCTGTATTTTTTTTTATCCCACTTATATTTATCGGATCATCAAATAAATGTAAAATATCAGACAAACAGAACCTGAATAAAAACAGGTCTAGACGGCTACCATTGATTCATCCTGTGAACTGCTGCTAGTGTTACTCACATGCCTGGAAGATGTCAAGTGCTACTACCACAGATGATCTCGCTCTCAAAATGGAATTAAACGACTCAGATTAGCTCGCCGAATGAATAGAAGAGGTAGAGCCTAGCCGCCTGTGGCCCGGGCTGCCTGTCACAACTCCAGTCTGGCACGTTGTCTTTTATGGATTTATTGTGGAGAGCACAATTCATCTCTGGAAAACTTCATGGTTTGGTTTAGAGCTGTTTTCTATTTATTTCTCAGGAGAATAAGGAAAGCTCCTTTTTCTGTGAGTTGGTAAACCCTGTCAGCAGCAGCTCCAGTGAAACAATGTATAACCCCTTTATCAGAGGTGAGAGGAAAAAATACCCATCTATTCTTTATCTTTTCCACCTTTAGTCGACAAAAAACAACTCCTTCATATTAGGGTTATTTTTGATACAGTGATGTTAAAATTGATCTCCTCATTGATTTATATTCCACAGTTTCTTTATAACAATAGAAGAGACAGTTTGCAGGGTTTTAATTGAAAAATATCTTTAACGCAGCTTTATATGCTTTTTATTTTGACCATCATCGACTAAAACATAGTCTGATGAGCAGATTGTCACCTCAGTAGTTCAGCGCTGATGCATCTATTAGCCTATAGGCTGTTTTCCCTGTTTGTATTTTGGGTCCTGAAGTTCCCACATTATTCCTCCAGTTGTGACGTGAAACACATTCATGTTAAATGGGTCTGATCTAGCAAACAATCAAAGCTTTATATTCATGTTGGATTTTATTGATACTCAGAAGCGACCGGCATCCAGCTCAACTCAGACAGCAATGGCAACTCCTGATAAGATGGAAAAACTATTTAAAAAGTATGAACGTGAGCTATGAGAAGGAGCAGGTGTGCTGCAGTTCACTGCTTTGGCCACAGGTGGCAGTATCATTAGAAAACTCCTTAATGCCTCTTTAAATATTTCAGACCATCGTATAAATGTAAAATATCAGACAAAGAACCTTGATAAAAAAAAACTCTTATTAACTGATGATCAGTGATGGGAGTAACGGCATTACTAATGCTGTTACCTTTTTTTTAGTAATGAGTAATCTAACTAATTACTTTGACTGTAACTATAACGCAGTTACCATTGACGATATCCCGTTACTGCACGTTACTCAGGTCGCACAATGAACCTTTTTTATATAACTAATTACCTTTTCAAAGTAACGTGCCCAACGCTGCTGATGATTGTGTTTATCAAAAAAATAAACATGTCTAAATTGACCTGCCTGTAGAGAAAGAAATGTTTTCTGTATAATTTCAATAAAATGCTGCATTTTTATTTTAGATGTAAAATATTTGTAACCAAAATAAGATGATTGTCTAAAAGACTTTCATAGTTGAAGAAACTTTGAGAAAATATGTATGTATGTTTAAGCATTTTGCAATGGTTTAAAAAGCTATTTAAATTATTTCACTTTACGTCAAAAGTGTCACAAGCAGAGGGACACTTTTATGGAAAGATCTTAAAGATCCAGAACAGTTCTAGGAAAACATGAACTAATAGATTTTCGGATGAATTGTAGGAAAGTCGACCTAAAGACCCATTATATCCTATTTGAAGCTATGGATTAGCTGGAATATATACTCCAGGTGTTTGAATAAGATTTATTTAGGTTCAAAATGTTGTTTTGTAATGAATAAAGTTATTGAATTTGCTGAACACCTTTTTTAAAAGACTTTGCATCAATCAGCAGATGATCTTTGGTAGTTTGAGCAAAAAACTCTCCTCCATCGCCTTCATTTGAGTTTTTTGATGCAGAGATTTATTGTCCATCAGAACTTTTAATTGTTAGAAAAGTAAATAAACTTCCTGTTTCCTTCTGTTCTGTAGATCAGCAGATATGATAGAAAGGGTTAAACATTACTGTTGCTCAGAAACAGAAAAAGTTCACATAAAGGAGTAAAAATGTTCTTGTTTTTCGTTCACAGCTGATCTGATCTATGGAAAAGTTGGTGGCTCCATTGTTCTGAATCCAGGTCAGATTTCAGAGCCTATTCAGACAGTAACATGGAGGTACAAAATGGACCTCACCTCAAAGGGTTCTTGGCAGGATATTCAAAGTAACGGAGCTTTTAAAGGTAGGTTGACTAGAAAGCTCAAGAACCTGCAGGTTAACATCATCCATGATTTCTTATCCGGATCCTTCTTCCAGGTCGCTGTGACTTTGATAAAACAAGTGGAAGTTTGACCATCAACAGTCTGACTCTAGAGGACAGCGGCAGCTATATAGTTGAGATCAAAAACAAAAATCAAGAGATGAATAAACTCCAGGTTATCAGTGAGTTCAGCAGGTTTGACTGAGGTTTGTTAGGTTTGAACCTGAATCAAGTTGAGATAATCTGTTCCTGTTTCTGTCAGAACCGGTCCCAAAACCCACAGTGTCCATAAAGTACAACCATGAGAAGGATGCCTGGAGTCTCACCTGTGAAGCCCAAGTCACTGCTGACTTTGGACCTGTGACGTATAAATGGAAAACAGGTGACACAGAGTTGTCCACCGACAAGGAGCTGCTGATAACAACGGTATGAGGATGAGAAACCCTGGAAGAACTCAGTAGAACCTTCATGGTTTGGTTTAGAGCTGTTTTCTATTTATTTCTCAGGAGAATAAGGAAAGCTCCTTTTTCTGTGAGTTGGTAAACCCTGTCAGCAGCAGCTCCAGTGAAACAGTGGAAAACCCCTTTATCAGAGGTGAGAGGAAAACATTCCCATCTATTCTTTATCTTTTCCACCTTCAGCTATCAAAGAAACACAACTGTTAGAAAAATAAATAAAAAAAACTTCTCAAATTCTATCAAAGTTATTCTTGAATACTTTTAATAAAATAAAACATTATTAATTCACATAGGATGTGAAATATTTCAACCCCAGAAGAAAGATGCTTGTCTAAAATTGTTCCCTGGTTTTACAATTTTTCAGAAAATATTTGTGAAGGTTTGACCTTAGCTAATGAGTTTTAACATAAATTTAAACTATTTCACTTTTTTTTTCAGAGTGTTAAAAGCAGAGTGACACTTTTATGAGAACATCTTAAAGATCCAGAAACGTTCTTGGAAAACATGAACTAATAGATTTCTGATGAATTTCAGGAAAGTCGACCCAAAAACTCCTTGTATCCTATTTGAAGCCATGAATCAGATGGAATATACTCCAAGTGGTTGAATAAGACGATTATTTAGGTACAACATGCTGTTTTGAATTAATGAATAAAGGTATTTAATTTAGCCGAAAACGGGATATTTAGGACTTTGCATCAATCAGCAGATGATCTTTGGTAGTTTAAGCTAAAAACTCTTTCATTTTTAGGAACGAGTAATCTAACTATTTACTTTGACTGTATCTATAACGCAGTTACCATTGCCGAGATCCCACTACTGCACGTTACTCATGTCGCACAATGAACCTTTTTTTCATGATAGGACTCGTGCGCGCCTTTTCATGAGATAGATAGATTGATAGATAGATAGATAGATGTTGCAGTATCTATAACAACCCAAACACACAGGATTTCAGAATTTGACATCCTCAGTTATTCATTTCATACACTCACCAGATCTGAATGCCCTGTTAAAAAACTTCACACCCATGATTAGAGGTAATGAAGCCTGATGATATTTACACCGCATCAGATACTGTTCCCCCTCATGTTAAGCAGGGGGAACGCTATCTGACAGGGTTTATAGGCCCATCAGATAGAGTTCCCCCCCTGATGTCATTTAGGTTGAGTTGCAATAAATGCAAAACTCTCTGCAGGTTCTTGTCTTTGTCGTCAGCTCTATTCAGCTGGCTTTGAAACACACAGCGAGAAGGTGGGGGCCAGGTGGTGAGGGTTACGGGGACGAGAAACGCAAAAGTAACACAATAGTTACTTTCACTAGTAACTAGTTACTTTTACTGTGGAGTAACTCAGTTACTTTTTGAGCGAAGTAACTAATAACTATAACTAATTACTTTTTCAAAGTAACGTGCCGAACACTGCTGATGATTGTGTTTATCAAGAAAATAAACCAGTCTAAACGAACTAGTGGGAGTGGATAAATGGGTGAAAGCAAATAAGCTGGTATTGAATACAGCAAAAACTAACAGCATGATTGTGAGGTCAAATTACAACATAAATAGTAATCATATATTGAAGATTAATATCAATAACGTCTCGATAAGGAATGTACATGAGTCCAAGCTTCTGGGAGTGACGGTGGATAACACGTTATTATGGAGAAA